GCCAAACTGCATTGCTTCTGATCAAGACATTTACTGCACAGCAAATAAAGTCTTGTAATGAGCCCATTCTCATAAAATTCACTTGTCTTATCATGTGTTCCTGTATTCTGAGGTAGCTGACTTTATATGGGAGGAAAACAGCTTTTTGAAGACTCAGTTACAATGCCAGCTAGGTTAGAATACCTTGTAGGGCTGGGACAAGGCTCTCTAAGAGACTTTATGGTCTTTGAAACAGCATCCAAAATATAGCGCTACTTTTCCAATACACAGGATTCATGGGTCCAGGAGTCAAGGAGTAAAAATGGAAGTGGAACAAGTCACTCTTGCCCCTGTTGACCTACTAGCAAAATATTTGCTTTCTGTCCCCATGACCTTATTCTCTGCTGCCTAGAGGGCTTAGTTCCAAAGGAAGGAATGGTTCTAGCAGAAGATACACCATAATTTAATTGACCTAGATGTTAAGACTGCTACCTGGCAATTTTGGGCTCCTCATGCCTCCGAATCCACAGGCAAAACAGGGAGTAACTGTGGTGGCTGGCTGGATTAATTCTGACTGTCAAGGTAAATTAGACTACTATCTTTGAAATGGAGATAAGAAAAAAGTATATATAGAAATCCTTTAGGGTGCCTCTTAGTATCACTATTACCTGTGCTTAAAGTCAGTAGGAAACTGCAATAACCCTATTCAGGCAGAACACTTATGGCCCAGAGCCTTCAAGAATGAATGTTTGAGTCACTCTTTTAGGTGGGAATTACAAATTTGTATTACAGTTTTTAAGGATTATTTACATTATAGAATTTACATTACAGAATATCAAAGAAAAAAGTGAACATCATTCATGGATTTACATTCCCATCTAGGGAAAAGATTAATGTGTTTTTATGCAGAATACTATATTATGTTAAGTAGAAGTGTGATCCTGCCATTGTTTTTATTTGAAGATTAGGTATTAAGGAGTTCTATATGGGTTTCAAGCTACAAAGGCATGGAATTATAATGGTTAATTTTATATGTCAACATAACTGGGACATAGTACCTTGATATTTGGTCAAATAACACTCTACCAAAGATCTTTGTGAAGGTATTTTTAAATGAGATTTAATCATTAAGCCTTGAGTAAAAAAGATGATCCTTCATAATGTAGATGGACTTCATCAATCAGTTGAAGTTCTTAAGATAAAAAGACCAAAGTTCCTGGAGGTAAAGAGATTTCTGCCTCCAGGTTGTAGTCAGACTTGAGCTACAACAGCTCCCCAGGACTCTAGCCTACTGGACATCCTACTGGTTATATTTCTCTGGAGAACTTTAACACATCACCTAAGTAAAGTTATAGAAAATTTGTCTTTTGCGATTGCCATATTTCATGTAGCAGAATGTCTTGCAGGTTTATGTGCATTGTCACGTGTGTTAGAATTTCCTTCACATTTTACTGCTGAATCTTGTATTCCATTGTTTGTTGTCTTAGTCCATTTTATGTTGCAATAACAGAATACTGTAGACTGGATTATTCATGAAGAAAATAAATTTGTTTCTCAGAGTCCTAGAGGCTTGGATGTCCAATATCGAAGTGCCAGCTTCTGGTGAGGACCACCATGGCAGAAGTTGGAAGGGCAAGAAAGTACAAAAGGGTAAACAGGAAAGTGGCCACGATCACTCCTGAACTCACTCCTGAAGTAACACCATTACTTCATTCATGAATGCAGAGCTCTCATGACCTAATTAGTTTCAAATTCTCCACCCCTCAACACTGTTGCATTGGGGAATGAGTTGACAACAAATGAACTTTGGGTGACACGTTCAAGCCAGAGCATATGTAAATAACACATTGATTTTATTCATTCATCCATTTTAAAGAACACTTTGGTGCTTGCACCTTTTGGCTCTTATGAATAATCCTGCAAAAAATAACAGTGTACAAATACCTATTATTGCCTGATTTCCATCCCTTTGAGTATCTACCCAAATGTGGAATTTCTGGTTCAAACAGTAATTCTAGTGTGAACTTTTCAGGAATTGTCATACTGTTTTCCATAGCAGCTATAATATTTTATTTTCCTACTAGTAGTACGCAAGAGTTTAAACTTCTCCACATCTTTGTAAATACTTGTGATTATTTATTTTTTTAAAAATAATGGCGATTGTAATGATATAAAATAATATCTTTTGGGAGCTCTTTTTGTATTTCCTTAGTGATCAGTAATATTAGTCACTCTTTCGTGTGCTTATTAGTCATTTATATGCCTTCTTTGGAGAAACATCTACTCAAAGGCTTTATCCAGTTAATGTGATATACACATATTTTTAACTTGTAGGAATTTTTTTTTTCATTTTCTGGATATTAATCATCAGCTGTAAAATTGATAAATATTTTCAGTCCATAGGTTACTTTTTCACTCTGTTCAGAGTGTATTCTGTATACAAATATTTTTAATTTTGCCTGGGCTTATGATTTCATATCCAAGAAATCATTGCGAGATCCAATGTCATGAGGTTTCCTCAGTTCTCTGTTAAGAATTTTATAATATTAGTGCACACATTTAGGTCTTTAATCAGTTTTGAGTTAATCTCTGTATATGTCATAAGGTAAGATTCCAACTTTATTATTTTAAATATGGATATACAATTTCCCCTAAATCATTTGTTTAAAAGACTGTATTTTTTTTTCCATTGAATAACACTAGTGTATAGAACACATATGTGAAGCATTATTTCTGGAATCTCTATTTTATTTCATTAGTGTATATATATGTCTTTATGTCAGTACTACAGGTTCTTATAATTATTGCTGAATCCATGTAGTAAGTTTTAAAATTAAATGTGCAACATCCAACTTTTTATTTTTCAATATAGTTTTGGTTATTACATGTCCTTTGAGATTCCGTGTAAACTTTGTAATAAATTTTGTCATGGTTTCAGCAAAACATCATTGGAATTTTGACAGTGATTTTATTCAATCTGTAGATTGCTTTAAGTAGTATTAATACCTTAAAAATACTAAGGCATCCAGTTTATGAACATGGGATGTCTTTACATTTATTTTTGTCTTTAATTTTTCTTAACAGTGTTTTATCTTTTACCTCTGATATAGTTTGGCTCTGTATCCCCACCTAAATCTCACCCTGAATTTTACTTTCATAATTCCCACATGTTGTGGGAGGGACCTGGTAGGAGATAATGAAATGTGGAGGCAATTTTTTCCATACTGTTCTCATAGTAATGAATAATTCTCATGAGACCTGATGGCTTTATTAGCAGTTTCTGCTTTTGCATCTTCCTCGTTTTCTCTTGCTGCTGCCATGTAAGACGTGCCTTTGCCTCCTCCCATGATTCTGAGGCGTCCCCAGCCATGTAGAACTGCAAGTCAATTAAACCTCTTTTTCTTCCCAGTCTCAGGTATATCTTTATCAGCAGCATGAAAACAGACTAATACAGTAAATTGATACCAGTAGAGTGGGGCATTGTTGCAAAGATACCCAAAAATGTAGAAGCAACTTTGGGACTCGGTAACAGGCAGAGGTTGGAACAGTTAGGAGGCCTCAGAGGAAGACAGACACATCTCGGAAAGTTTGAAACTTTCTAGAAATTTGTTGAATGGCTTTGACCAAAAGCCTGATAGTGATATGGACTATAAGGTCCAGGCTGAGGTGGTCTCAGATGGAGATGATGTACTTGTTGAGAACTGGAGAAAAGATGACTCTTGTTATGTTTTAGCAAAGAGGCTGGAGGCGTTTTACTCCTGCCCTAGAGATTTGTGGGACTTTGAACTTGAGAGAGATGATTTAGGGTATCTGGTGAAAGAAATTTTTAAGCAGCAAAGCATTCAAGATGTGACATGCGTGCTTTTAAAGGCATTCAGTTTTATAAGGGAAGCAGAGCATAAAAGTTCAAGAAATTTGCATCTTGACAATGCAATAGAAAAGAAAAATCCATTTTCTAAGGAGAAATTCAAGCTGGCTGCAGTCGTTTGCGTAAGTAACAAAGAACCAAGTGTTAATCCCCAAGAAAATGGAAAAAATATCTCCAGGGCATTTCAGAGGCCTTCATGGCAGCCCCTCCCATCACAGGCCTGGATGCCTGGGAGAAAATGGTTTCATGGTCCAGGTCCAGGGTCCTCGTGCTGTGTACAGCCTAGGATCTTAGTGCTCTGCATTCCAGCCTCTCCAGGCATGCTTGAAAAAGGTCAATGTAGAGCTTGGGCCGTGGCTTTAGAGGGTGCAAGCCCCTTGGCAACTTCCATATGGTGTTGAGCCTGCGAGTGCACAGAAGAATTAAGGTTTGGGAACCTCCGCCTAGATTTCAGAAGATGTATAGAAACACCTGGATGCCCAGGCAGAAGTTTGCTGCAGGGGCTGGGCGCTCATGAAAAACCTTTACTAGCATATTGCCGAAGGGAAATGTGGGGTCAGAGCCCCAACACAAAGTCCCTACTTGGGCACCACCTAGTGGAGCCGTGAGAAGAGGGCCACCATTCTCCAGACCCCAGAATAATAGACCCAATGACAGCTTACACCATTCACCTGGAAAAGCCAGACAATGCCAGCCTGTGAAAGCAGCTGGGAGGGAGGCTGTATCCTGCAAAGCCACAGAGGCAGAGCTGTCAAAGACCATGGGAACCAACCTTTTGCATCAGCATGACCTGGATGTGAGACCTGGAGTCAAAGGAGATAATTTTGGAGCTTTAAAATTTGACTACCCTGTTGATTTTGGACTGGAATGGGGCCTTTGTTTTGGCCAATTTCTTCCTTTTGGAATGGCTGTATTTACCAAAAACTTGCAACCCCATTGTATCTAGGAAGTAACTAGCTTGCCTTTGATTTTACAGGCATATAGGCAGAAGGGGCTTGCCTTGTCTCAGGTAAGACTTTGGACTGTGCACTTTGGGTTAATACAGAAATTAGTTAAGATTTTGGGGAACTGTTGAGAAGGCATGATTGGTCTTAAAATGTGAGGATATGAGATTTGGAGGGACCACGGGCAGAATAATACGGTTTGGCTCTGTGTTGCCACCCAAATGTCATCTTGAGTTGTATTCCCGTAATCCCCATGTATTGTGGGAGGGATTCGGTGGGAAGTAAATCAGATCATGGGGACGGTTTCCCCAATATTGTTCTTGTGGTAGTGAATAAGTCTCACGAGATCTGATGGTTTTATCAGGGGTTTCTGCTTTTGCATCTTCCTCATTTTCTCTTGCCACCACCATGTAAGAAGTGCCTTTCGCCTCCTGACATGATTTTGAGGTCTTCTCAGCCATGTAAAACTGTAAGTCGAATTAAACCTTATTTTTCCTTCCCAGTCTTTGGTTTGTCTTTATTAGCAGTATTAAAATGAACTAATACAACCCCCTTGGTTAAATTTATTCCAAAGCATTTTATTGTTTTTGATGCCATTGTACATGAAATTGTTATCTTAATATTTTTCAAATTGTTCATTCTTAGTGTAGAAAAGCACAATGGATTTTTTGTCTTATGTCTTGCAATTTTGCTCAGTGTCCTTATTTGTCATAATAGTCTTGTCTTCATGGAAACATTATGGTTCTCTACATATAACGTTATGCCATCTGAGTTCAGAGATAATGTTAATTATCTCTTTTCAATTTTGATCTTTTTTATATTTTTTTCTATCTTAATTGCTCTGCCTAGGGAATTACAGTACTATGATGAATACAAGTGGCAAAAGTACTCAATTTTATTTTGTTCCTAATCTTATAGAAAAATATTTCCATTTTTGCCATTGACTATAATGTTAGCTGAAGAATTTTCATATATAACTTTATAATATTGATGTAGTTTTTGTATGCTTAGTTTATTTACTGCTTCTATTATAAAAGTGTTGAATTTTGTAAAATCCTTTTTTTCCCTGCATTAATGGAGGTTATGTGGGTTTTTTCTCCATTCTGTCAACATGCTATTTAAGTTTATTTTACTATGTTGAACCATCTTTGCATTCCATAATATAAATGGAACTTAAGTTACCATTTATAATACCCTTAATCTGATGAATTTATGTTGAATTTTGTTTCCTAGTATTTTAATAAGCATTTTTATTAATATTCATAAGGTATATTGGTCTGTACTTTTTTTTGTACTATCTTTGACTGGCTTTGGTATCAAGGTAATACTGAACTCATAAAATAATTTGAAGTAGTTTTTTTTCATGTAAGTCTTTTCAAGCTTCTGTGACAAAATACCAGTTTGTGTGGTTTAAACAAAAAATATTTATTTTTCACAGTTCTAAGGCTGAGGGGCCCAGGAAAAGCTGCTGGTCAGGTGCCTCTTCCTAACTTGTAGATGACCACCTCCTTGCTGTGTTCTCATGCGGTACAGGCAGAGTGATTTCTCTCTTTTTCTGCTTATAAAGCATTAATCCCACCACTAGGGACCCACTCTCATGACCACATCTAACCCTAATTGCCCTCCAAAGACTACATCTCCAAATACAGGTACATTATGGTCTAGGCCATTAGCATATACATTTTTGAGGAAACACAATTCAGTCCGTAACACCTCATTTTCAACTTTTCGAAGAGTTTGAGAAATATTAGCATTAATTATTTTTTAAATGTTCTGTCAAATTTACCAGCAAAGTTACCTGTTTCTGAGATTTTCCTTGTTTGGAGGTTTTTGATTACTGATTTTGATTACTGATAGTGTTATCGATCTATTCATATTTTCCATTTCTTCAAAATTCAATTTTGATGGGTTATGTTTTTCTAGGAATATGTTCATTATTTCTAGATTACTCAAAATATTAGAATACAATTGTTTGTATTACACATTTATAATTTTACAAACATAGATTTAAAATTATTTCTATGATTGCCTTTAAAATGTGGTAGAATAAAAAAATTAATTAAAACCAAAAAATTTTATATTTTTATATGACTTTAAGTTACTGTCTAATGTCCTTTTCATTTTAATTCTCAGTTGACTTTCTTTCTTTCAGCACTTTAGATATATAATTCTACTCTCTTGGCCTGCAAGCTTACCACAGAAGAATCTTCTGCTAGTCTACTTGAGGATGTCTTGTACATAAAAAGTCATTTTTTTTTTTTTGCTGCTTTTACAATTCCCTCCTTATTTTTCAGCAGTTTGATTATAATGTATCTCATTATGAGTAACTTTGAATTTTATTCTACTAGTGCTTTTGGAGTTTCCTGAATTTGTATATCCATGACTTTTTTTTTTTCAAATTTGGAAAGTTTTCAGTCATTACTTTTTTCCAGTAAGTTCTTTGTCTCTTGCTCTCTCTGTCTTTACTTGCCTATTAAAGTCTGCTGTTAGACCCCAGCTTTGATTTGTTTTAGCTCTTGAATTTCTGTTTGTTTCTTTATTTGCAATTCTTAGCTGTTTGCTGATATTTTAATTATGTTCATATGTTATTTTCCTGACTTCCTTTATCTCTTTGAGCATATTTAGTACAGTTAATTTAAAGTCTTTGTCTAGCAAATATAATATCTGTTTCTTCCGTGGTGGTTTCTGAATATTAATGTTGTTACTTTAAATCGGCCGTGTTTTCATATTTTTTTGCATACTTTGTGATTGTTTGTTAGAAACTTGGCATTTGTCAAAACAACCACTGATCCCAGTCTTTATAGAATTGCTATGTGCAAGGAAATACATTCACTTTTTACCCTGGCACAAAGTTTTAAGGTTTTCTCAGACTTATATGGAAAATGCATCTTCCATGAGTGTGCTTGCATTATTTTTTTTAATTACCCTGTATATGTAGCTGCTTTCTAAGTGTTGATTTCGCAATGAATCACACAGTTGCTTCTCCTAATTGACTTCACTTTTCTATTGTATTCCACAAACAGTATTCTCTTGTCCCAGTCTTATGTGAGTCTGTAACTCCCTTGATATTTTTGGGAGAAATCTGCTTCCTGTAGATTTCTGTAGCTTGAGATCTAAACTGTGATAGTTTTGGCTATTTGAACTGTAAATTATGCAAAACAGAAACTATCAGGTAGATCTTAGACATGTTAAAATGCTACAAATTAGGTTCATTTTTGGTAAGCAGAAGGGAATTGGATTGCTGCTTTCCCCAAAACAGGTCATGTAGAAAATGTTTCTACCATTTTTAATGTGCCTTTAACTCGATTGGGCATTTGGCTTCTTGCTATAGATATTTTATAGATTTTTAGAGCCATTGTAAGGTTATTTAAAATAATCTGTTTATTTAATGTTTTTGTGGATAACAGAGACTTGAAGCTAACTATCTACTATACTGCTGATGTCATGATGTCATTACTAAGTCTGTTTCTTTTGTTTTGTTTTGTTTTTTGTTTTTTGTTTTTTGTTTTTTTGTTTTTTTTTTGAGATGGAACCTCCCTCTGTCACCAGGCTGGAAGGCAGTGGCGCGATATTGACTCACTGCAACCTCCGTCTCCTGGGTTCAAGTGATTCTCCTGCCTCAGCCTCCCAAGTAGCTGGCACTTCAGGCATGCACCACGACGCTCAGCTAATTTTTGTGTTTTTAGAAGAGATGGGGTTTTACCATGTTGGCCAGAATGGTCTCAACCTCTTGACCCCATGATCCACCCGAACCAGCCTTCCAAAGTACTGAGATTACAGGCGTGAGTTACCGCACCCGGCCTCTCTGTTAATATTTTTAATTTTTTTAATGTGCTAGAAATAAAACCATGATTGTTAAAATTAAAAATCAAATACAATTCACAATTGCACATAAAGTGAAATCCTATTGTCTTTGCCTCTCTAAGTGCTGGGATTAGAGATGTGAGTTACTGTGCCTAGCCTGCATTATTTCCTATAACTGCATATTAATTTACAGTTATTTCTAATAAGAAGTTTGCTATTTTTAAAAACTGCTTGTTTATGTAGCTGTACAAGATGGAATATCATCTATTAAAATTATAAAAGTAGAAGTATTTTTAAACATAAAATAAGATCAGTGGGGTATCCTTAACGTCTTTGTTTTATATAAGAAAATAAAAAACATGGCCGGGCGCGGTGGCTCAAGCCTGTAATCCCAGCACTTTGGGAGGCCGAGACGGGTGGATCACGAGGTCAGGAGATCGAGACCATCCTGGGTAAAACGGTGAAACTCCGTTTCTACTAAAAAATACAAAAATCTAGCCGGGTGTGGTGGCGGTGCCTGTGGTCCCAGCTACTCGGGAGGCTGAGGCAGGAGAATGGCGTGAACCCGGCGGGCGGAGCTTGCAGTGAGCTGAGATCGCGCCACTCACTCCAGCCTGGGCGACAGAGTGAGACTCCATCTCAAAAGAAAAAAAAAAAGAAAATAAAAAATATAATGCCATATGGTCAAAGAAATGTAATAACTTTGTTGTGGGAATGACCCATAACAGAGAACCAAATAGTAGAATTTCAAATTAGTGACAAATGCTATTTCTTCATTTCATGACTGCAATATGAATGAGTACAACATGTTGTTAGATAATATTAAGAATATCTTGAAATAAGAAATTATGAAAGCTGAAATAAAAACAAATTGAATAAATTTGAATTCTATGTTTTATTCAAAATTCTAACAGTAATTATGTGACATATGATTTGATGTTCAGACCATAAAAGTTAGCTGGAATTTTTAAATTTAAAATATATTGTCATCTCTATAAATCAATAATATAATAAGCTTGAAACCGCTACTTTAAAATATATGCACATTTCATAGAAGTTAGCATATAAGAAAGACAGTATTTGTGTTCAAGTAGTAGAACTTCAGATGAGGTCCTTCTAATTCTCTACTTCGTAAATTTTCTTCAGCACAATCCTGTTATCACAGGAATAACTAGGGCCAGGCGCGGTGGCTCAGGCCTGTAATCCCAACACTTTGGGAGGCCGAGGCGGGCGGATCACCTGAGGTCGGGAGTTCAAGAACGGCCTGACCAAGATGGAGAAACCACGTCCCTACTAAAAATACAAAATTAGCTGGGCATGGTGGCGCACGCCTGTAATCCCAGCTACTCCGGAGGCCGAGGCAGGAGAATGGCTTGAGCCCAATAGGCAGAGGTTACAGTGAGCGAGATCGCGGCCAGTTGCACTCCAGCCTGGGAAACAAGAGTGAAACGCCGTCTCAAAAAAAAAAAAAAAAAAAAAAAGAAAGAAAGAAAGAAAAGAAAAAAGAAAAAAAGGAAAAGAAAAAAGAATAACTTCAGGTATCTTACCAGAGAAAGTTAAATCTGCTTAATGTAGACAGAGGGGCAGAAGGTGAAAATGGGGAGCTTATTTTGCAGTCAGTGTCAATACGTCAGGGGCACCTGAAAATATTGCCAAGGGGGAATTCTAAGGCAAACTAAAAAAGAATGTGCAATAATACACTGTGACACAAACCTTTGAGGTCACTGACAACACATATCTTTGAATTACTCTGCAGATATTTCAGCTCATAATATGGAAAAGGTATCGTGCTAAATTGGCCTGGTCCAGAAATGGTGTTGGTTAAGGCTACAGATTGGACCTACTGAAGAATGGGGAGCCAAGAAATTTATTGCTCAGAATTGACTGGGTCTATAATTTGTTGTTTGCACTTGAAAATAGGCAAGTATGTTGTCAGTTTCCAAAACAGTGAAGAGAGAGAGACACAAAAATCCCTCAGAGGAGAATGAAGACTTCTTAATGAGCACAACAAACATCTTAATAGACAGGAGGAGATCCTCTTTCTGCTCCGAGATTATCATAAGTACCGGCCAAATTTGTGAACACTTGAAAGTCAGGGAAAATAGTGCCTCCTGGTTTATATAACAACTTCACCCAATAAATCTTGTATTTTTTCCCAGACTATGTCTGATTGTTTTCTTAGCTCTGTAGACATCTTTCCAATAAATAAGTTAAATAATTGGGAAAACTGTGCAAATGGAAATCAAAATATGTGAAGTATTCATCTCCCTCAGCTGGGCTTGTAGTCTATCTGGTGACTCAGAAACACCAGAATTATCATACTTTCAAATAGATATGAAAAATTAAAAATGCCAAATGAGTTCTGACTTCAGAATGCTCAATTCTAGCTGCCAAAGATATTCTACAGGAAAAGATGTGAATTCATCGTCTCCCAAATGGTTTAAGAGGAATTGTATAGACGGGAGAGATAGAAATTTGCATGAAGAAATTCATAGGGTTGAAAAATGTAAGATATATCAGCGAGAAGTAGATCAGTGTAAATGAAATGAAAGGCTCATGCTTTTTCTATTATACCATTGATATCAGATCCTTTAGTTAACTAACACTTGATGACTCCTATACGTGTCACTTAAGTGTGAATGAAAATAAAATGCTTTCATATGGTCAAATAGAATTATATTTTCTTAGTATAGGATCAAGGTGCTCTTCACAAAATTTCTAAAATATCTATTTAACTAAATATCTAGCTAAATAGTTGTTTAACAGTTTGATTTTATTTTACAGGAAAAAAATGTGCTTTTGTAGAACTACAAAATTTTATATTGGTACAAATATGCTAGTATCCTTTAATTAACTTACTTTTCCAATATACTTAATACTGAAATTGGCATTTGTTAATTAGGAAATATTGATAAATATTTTATTTGTTGATAGAAGTATATATATATATACACACACACACACACACACAATATTTAGTCCATTTATGGAAGTAAACCAATATGTTATAAAAATCAACTTATCTTAAACAACAAACATATTTATTGTTAGGATATAGGAGAATTGCAGAACTGAAGAACAAATGCTACTTGAAGGACTGGTAGCACTCCAAAGACAGACTGAATATAAACCAGAGGGTGGAAAAAAAATAGACAGCAAGCTATAGCTGTTGCTGAGATGAATTTAAGCCCTAATAAAATGCTGGCTCTCCCCAGGCAATCCTGAAATCTTATTGACCATAAAAGACACAGTTACTTTCTATCATTGTCATCTCTATCCATTAACTATACAAGGTTAACAATAGACATACTCTAGCCTGATATACATATGCACAATAAAATCTAGTTTTAAAAAATATCTATTTGGTTAAATTACCAAGAAGACATCTCAGGAAGGAAATATAAATATTTTTTCTATGGGATGTGTTTTCTGATACAAATGAACTTCTTCCTCCTATTCAAACTTTCATAACACTCTCCCTTTTTCATATTAAACTCATACTTTCATTGCACACCATTTTTTATTTTTATTTTTTATTTTTTTGCCCTTAAATAGGTACAACTTGCTATTGTTCTGCCTAAATGCAATTCCTTTTACCCCTGTTATGGCTGCCCACTTCTCAACGTTTAGGATTCTCTGTACATCCCTTCATCACATTGTTATATAAAACTTCTCGTTTGTTTTCTGATTAGCTTTTATCACAATACCAATATATTTTGTTTGTGTGTTTACTGTCTTACTGGTTGACTTTTGATAATGTCATGAGTGTTGAAGTGTCGGTAGGCCCAGACCAACATGGCACCTGGCTTACAGTATGTGACACTCTTTTATAGTCAATTTCATTGCAAAATTGCTGAGGAAAGAGCCAAGACTTTATATTGCTGATAAAGCCACTATAGTAACTATCACAGTGCTGAATATCTAATTGGTATTTAACATTATTGACCAATTGACTAAGTTGCATCTGTTAATTGCATACATGTCATTAAATACCTGTTGACTAAATGAGTGAATGATGCTTCACCCCTTAGAAATTACGGGACTACCCAGCACTTTGGGAGGTTGAGGCGGATGGATCACCTGAGGTCAGGAGTTTGAGACTAGCCTGACCTATATGGTGAAACCTTATCTCTACAAAAAATACAAGAATTAGGTGGGAGTGTTGTCGGATGCCTGTAATCCCAGTTACTCATGAGGCTGAGGCAGGAGAATCGCTTGAGCCCAGGAGGCAGAGGTTGTATTGAGCTGAGATCGCGCCATTGCACTCCAGGTTGGGTGACAAGAGCAAAACTCAATCTCAAAAAAAAAAAAAAGAAAGAAAAGAAAAGAAATTATGAGACTAGATCATTAGCCTGAAACTTAAATATAATTTGTAAATACTGATTTGCAGAAAGAAATAAGAATAATAATAAATTTTCTTGTGCTTTATAGTAGGTGAGAGTACTTCTCATTTCTCAAAGAATATACTATCTCTAGATATGCAAATTCATATTTTGTGTAAGGTTAAAGAGTATAAACTACAGTTCATGCTAAAACTGAAAATAAATTTGGACATGACTATTTTCCCCAAATCAAGGCAGAAACATTTAAAATCCAGTTGAATCAATTCTCTGAAATATTACAGCTGTAGCAAATGTCAATACAGAGTGACAGAGGCAGCTGCTGGATGATCTCAAAGGCCAAACATTCAATGTGTT